GCGATGGATTTGATGCCCGACACACTGTGTTGGAGGACGAGCACTGATACTTTGAAGCACCGATATCACCAAAATGGCTAGATTTGATATGCCAAAACGGGAAATTGAGGTGACGCAAATCGTGCAACCCTATGTTAGAACCGAACTACTCAATTTTTGTGCTTCGGATTTCCTTGTAAAGCAGATCGAAATGGCAACATTGCCTTCCTGGAGCACAGATTTGACGATTTAGACATGCGAGTTCAAGGAAACTGGACGACTTTTCCCAGCACCCCTGTTTCTGCTGAACGACGAGAATTGCCGAATCAGAACAGGCTGGAAGATGCAATTTGATGAATCAAGAGAAGATCTACATGCAAGCAACCAGATGCTGTTGTGAGACCAGATGATGACGATGGTCCAGGTTTGAGGGGACTTTGTGTCAGAGATTGAACGATCAAGAAGAGAGAATAGAATGACCCTGGCAACAGGACCCTGAAGTTCAGAGACAAAAGTCAACGTCCTGAATGGGCTGAGCCATTTTTTTACCTGTGTGGCCCATGAGGTCCTGGCAGTCTGGCCCAGGATTTAGGTTTTCCCAAAAGATTCCATAGAGACTGAAGCTGTTGCCCAAATGCAACCTGAAGCTGTGATTGAAGAATGATGGCTAGAAGCAGGAGAGCAGCCATTTGAACAATGAACGAAATGAAATCATGTTGAGTTGAATGACGAATTGAGAGACGAATGACATGCTAGAGCAATGTAGCCATGCATATGATGCATACCTTCATCAAGGGTACATCCTGTTTCAGACTCATAAAGTCTGTTTCCAAGTGCAATCTAGAGTGAGATAGATCCCCCTCTAGCTTGAGGGGACCGAAAATGACCTGTGGCTGATATTGAATGACTATCCAGTTACCAGCTTACTAGAATCCACAACAACAACAACCAAGTAGTAACACACAACTATAGCAACCTCTCTATCAACACCTCCTCTGCTACTACCACTGTGGATTTTCGGTACCACCGTACTGAGTATAGTCACATCATAGGTTCGGAGGTGCGTGACATGGACCATATGTAGAAACAAGATCGATTAGTTAAGCTGAGTATAGAAAAAACAGTACAAACCTACCCTGTAGACGGTTGTAGGGCTGCTACAGGCTCTGTAGAGCCCTACGACCGTCTACATACGCGATGGTCGTAGGCTTTCTACTCACTTGTAGAAATCCTACGACTGTCCTGTATGTAGACGGTCGTAGGGCTCTACGCGCTGACATCATCGAGCAACACTTTACCACTCATGTTTAAGATAACATAATTTGACGAAAGCCCCTGCTTTTAAGATACACCACCGAGTCCAGAATACAAGAGTGAGGAAGTCAATCCATACAGTACATGTTTACTAGCTGGCTAGACAATACCATGGATGTAAGCCAGCTAGTTAATAGTCCAGTACTAACAGTAGTATAGCATGTAACAATACTAGCTAGCTAGTGCCACTAATAGTTAGCTAGCTTGCCAGTCATCTACAGCTTTTAAAGACTATATAAACTCCCCCTGGAGTGCATTTGACTGGTGACTTTTGTGGGTACCGATGCACTCAAAACATGTGCAACTAGATGCCTTTGTCCAGACTAGCTTAACCCTCCTCCTTCTCCCCTCTGGAGCCCCTTCAACTAATCACTTTTGTGGGTACCTTCAGACGTAGAAACAAGATCGATTAGTTATGTTTACTATAGCAAATACAGTACTATACTACCTCTGTAACGTGTGGTACAAAGCCTACACAGCTACAACACACATACCACGCTGCGTAAGTAGCGTGTGGTAGGCGATCTAAGTGCCACATAGGTTCGCGAGGGTCAATAAGAGCCAGCCTTGCCTACTTCCCACAAGCCGGGGAGGTGTGTACATTGATACATTCATGCTAAAGATACGTTATGTTCCTAGCTACTTCCAGAAAAAAGGATGCCACCATGGCAATTGACCGTGCCCACACAGGAATCACCACCAAACCACTAGGAGATAACACTGGAGGGATGAATCCGGTAGGAGGATCGACTCTCTTGTGTGTTGTCGTGTAGCCTCTTGTTGCCATCCAAACACTCTACGTTTGTTCATGCTGTTGGTAGTGCTGGAGTTAACAGAGCCTCCTCCTCCGTATCTGCATCAGTAGCCTCTCATCTTCTATGCATACTTATCCGTAGCGGTCAATCGTTCGTTCGAAAAGGAGGACTCGACAATGGTAGTTCGCCGGCCGTCGGCAGTGCAGCAGAGAAAACAACAAATAGATATGAGTTTTGTTTTCTGTGCTCAACTGCAGACAACCGGAGACTTACCCTTGTTTTCCAACTTGCACCAACTTGGCCGTCATGGGCCGAGAACTGACTGCCATCCCACGGTCCATAGGATTGGTCCATAGGATTCAATGAGGGATGGCTTTCGAATCTACACCAGAGACGGTTGGCTTGAGTGAGGCTTGATAGAAGAGGTACGGCAATTGATTCTATTCCAATAATAAAACGACTCATCTGTTGACAGTCGAGCTTGGAATTCTCTCCTGTTAACCATAGAAATCCAATGATGGAGAGAAGTCAGCGCTGTACCTTCAAGTAACACTCTTGATAATAGACTTACCTCGTACCGTACCAGTTGTTCGATCGATTCAACTCAGGCCGATTGGGTAAAGCACTCACCATTATTGGCGGTCAAGCTTGGATTCTCTCCTGTTTACCATAAGAATTCAATGAGGGAGAGAAGCAAGTCGGTGCCGCCTCGTCCCCCACGGAAAGAATCATCAGGTAGCAGTGCATTGGGTAGCATCATTCGACGTATTCATGGGCAAAAAGCCCATCGTTCCGAAGCTCCTCCCAAAAAGGGGCGATTTCTCGGCTTTGCAGCAGTCTGAGCGAACCAAATCAAGCACTCTCACCGGGTCCACTTACCAGTTGGTCTCCATAGTGCTTCTAGTGAAATCTAAGAATCGGGTAAGGGCGGATAATGGCATCGGTGGAGTGGTAGTGGCTCATTGTCGCGATTTGAGACTGGGAACCATAGACTTGCACGAATAATAATAATATTGTGATACCTAGGGAAACGAGCCGGCCAGCTATTGTCCCTGTCACGCACCTCCGAACCTATGTGGCGCTGACATCATCGCGAAGCGTGACTGAATACCCCGGTTTTAAGATATTCAATGAAGCATGACTGAACACCCCGGGTTTAAGATATTTGCGGAAACGGGCACATGTCCTCTCCATAATCGTCCATATCCCAAGGACCTCGAGATACTACAGCGTACTCGTACACACAGCACAGCACCAGCAACATGGTGTCTTCTAAACAACTATATTTAGAATAGATCTAGCTAATAGGTCCTAGGAGCTAGCAAGCTAGCAAGCTAGCTAGCTAGCAGCATATACAAAAAGCAAACCCCATCTGGAGTACATTTGACTAGTTACTTTTACGGGTACCGATGCACTCAAAACATGTGCAACTAGATGCCTTTGTCCAGACTAGCTTAACCCTCCTCCTTCTCCCCTCTGGAGCCCCTTCAACTAGTCACTTTTACGGGTACCACAACTCAAAAAACATGTGCAACTAGATGCCTTTGTCCAGACTAGCTTAACCCTCCTCCTTCCCTCTCCCCTCTGGAGCCCCTTCAACTAATCACTTTTACGGGTACCAGCTTGCCAGCATGGAAGCCCAGTTACCGCATTATTATTATTATAAACCAAATTGAAACCTTCTCTGGCTCCGAGAGCAACAATGGCGCTGTCTACCACTGAATTGATGACCTTATCTACCTTGTTTGGGCTGTTAGATTTCACTAGAAGCACAAATTCACAGCAAATTTGACCCTTGGACCTCAGAAGGATGACTCCATTGCAAAATTCTCTTTGATTCCTTCAAATGCACTTTCAATCTCAGACCTTGACTGAAGCATGATTCGTCTGTAGATTGTGTGGGCTCTGTCATGCACTTGAGTGGATCTCTCACCTTTTCGATACACTTATGGGATGACTCAAATCCTTCCTAGGAGCCCCTGCCAAGGAAGCCATTCTTCCGGACAAATTGAGGAATGTGGGTAACCAGCACATGGAGCTTGTTGAAGACTGTAGCTTCCTCCTCATTTCCTCCTGCAAATGAAAGCCAAAGCTGGGCATATTCTCATGATGTGGATTCAAACTCAAAACAATTAGCTGCCCACCATTTGCGTTGGCTCTTCATTGTAATAGACATCCCATAGAGCAAGGTGGCGAACTTCAAATACTTGTCGCCAAATACATCAGTACCTTCCTGCAGTTGTGGATTGTCGGCATAAACTCCCTTCATTGCTCCCTAATTTTGTCTGTCCTCTCGAGCACTCATATGCCATCCCCATTTGATAGCTCGAAACCACTATTTTCAACATGGAAAGCGACTCGGCCATCAACCTGAATAGACTTCCTGAAAGCATACGTTGCCCTGCCAATGATTCGATTTTTTGTCTTCTTTGCAAGGCCTGCCTCGAACTCATTGCCCTTTTCAATGAACATCTTGGCAGCGTCTCTAGCTTTAGTTTGTCCCGACAACTCGGAGGCGATCTTGTCACATTCGGTCTCAATTGTGTCCATCATGTCGATGGCGCCCATTCTTGTTGCTGCCATGCAGTCATGGACTAGCCTTGCATCTTGTTTGCGAAGTTTCTCTGTGGTCTCCTTTGTTGCCCCCAGGAATAGCTTCCCCTCTGCAAGTTTGTTTCGCATTTCTTGCAACCAAACCATGGATTTGTCGAGTTCGCCAAAACGCTCTAGCATTTTGATATGGCAGTGTGTCAACAATCCACTCGATACATGGATGCCAGAGCAAGTGTTCAAGTCCGGGTGAGTATAGAGCAAAGGTTGGTGCACCACGGAGCAATACCTCAACTTTAGCGTCTTGCCCTGACCGGTGGAATTCGACCTTGCCCAATTCGCAAGCCCCTTTAAATCATCAATGAATCCTTTATATAGCTTTGGATTGGCAAGATCTCCCTCTCAATCATTGAGAGGTTGCTCATCACGTGGTTTCATAAGATAGAAGGCGAAGTCTTTCTTTGGAGAGACACAGATAGTGCAGGGACACATGACAGTGGCAGTGCCTTGTCCCATGAGTGTTGAGTTGCGCTTGATGTCATCCAATGTGAAGCAACTGCATCGAAAGCACCGTAGCTTCACTGCGTTGTCAGCCATTGATGCCGTAAGATCCTCTGAAAATAATTCTGTGAAGAGTACACGACCAAAGCAGTTTCTCAAAACAAATCCTTTGTAGTGCAAAGCATCCTCGTGCTCGTTGTTATTGTCGTCTTCACTTTCTTTGCCGATGATTAATTGTAGAGTCAGTAGAGTGTGATCCTGACCTTCTTGGAGCGACAATGCTTCCTCTGGATTGAGAAGCTGCACTGATGGAGGCAATGCTCTCTCCTTGGTCAACAAGTTAACAGAGTTTTTGTCATCTTGGGCAAATCGAATCAAAGAAAGTCGACGATGGCACCCTTCGGGTAGCACAAATTGAAGCATCACAAATTGAGCATCAACAACAGCACCACAGGCATTGTAAATTGTCACTGCAACCATGTGATACTTTTTGTGGAGTAGCGATTGGAGAAACTCGTGTGTTGGCTTGTGCCCGATTGAAGATCGTCTGTTCCACACTGGGAATGAAAAACTCTGCAGAAACGCCCTTTTTGAGTCCGCAGAAACACTTTTTTCCTGAAGCAGGCTGGCGTGCACTCTGCAGAAGCCCTCGAACTCTGCAGTTCCGAAAGCCGGCATGGCTTTTTCTGCCGGGAGGTGTTTTTTTCTGCCGGGAGGTGTTTTTTTCCTGCCGGGAGGGTGTTTGTCTCTGGCAGATGACTTTTTTTCTGCCAAAAGCACCTGAAAACTGCACAGAATGGCTCGCAGAGTCGATTCATTGTTTGGCAGAAGGATTTTCTGGAGCAATTATCGTTTGCAGCTTGACAATTACTTAGAGATGGATACCAGGCAGGCGTGAAGAAACTAGCATCAAATAAATAGCCAGTCTTTTTTTGAAATCTCAACGCTTCGATGACATCATTTACATTTAATTCCACGGCACACTTTGGAACTAAGCACTAACGTCTCTACTGCAAAACGAATCCCTCAGATATAAACTTCTGTCTATGGGAATACACAGATACATTCCTACCATACGTCTTGACCCATCACCTATGAATCTGATTAATGCGACCGAGGAACTGTAACAAGATAGCATCAACCACGAACTCTCCATCAAAAACTCTCGAATCTTCCGCTCCTTTATTCAGATGATATAAATCGACTCACACGACGAGTCCCACCAACACTGGCTTATTTCAAAAGCACGAGTCCAAGTGATGACGTGAGCGCCCCCGTGTTGACTTCGAAGAACACCCTGTCAGGTTCAACTCCCACAAAGAACTGTGAATGAAATAACTGCCAAAAAGAGTCGTGCTTTCATACACACATCTATAAAACCGTTTCAAAAAAAGAGCAGTTTAGGGGGTTGGGGGATAAAAAAGAGGATTCTACGGGAATATTACTACTATTTGTGGAAAAAATCGTAGGTTGGGTATCTCTTCTTGTTC